TAAACGAAACCAATGTGTTTCGAAAGCTTACACTGCTTCCGTCTTCAGATGAAAATTTTTACCTTTTTAGACCCGATAGTAGGGGCTAATCGGAATTCCTGGACCAGGGTTTTATTTTAGAATAATTATCTAAGAATAAAATTCATAGAAACAGCAATACTTAATAACATTCCGTTCTTGAATGCAATAAATGTGACAACACGTAGCAGATTCGGTGGAAGGTGGTGCCGACAAAGGGTGAAAAGACAGCGACAGTGGATTCTAAGTGATGGTGTGATGAAATGTACATGTTCTTTGGCAGTTCTAGTTGTCTGACAGTTTACTGCGTTAGAGATTCTGTGGGATGATTCCACTCCAAGACAGAAGTACAGAAACCATATGAACTTGGTTCTAGTGCCATGTTTTATTTGTGTCTAATGTTTTAACAGTTTGATTCAGTGAGACTGTAAAAGCAAGCCAATTTGAGAAGCTGAGGAGTTGTGAGTTAGTCGGTTGTTCCCCTAAGCCCAGTGTGCATTTTCTCTCTCGCACCCTTGCTGTGTTCTTGTATCAGAGCAAGGTTATCCACTGACCACACGTAACGGGATGTCGGCTTTCCACTGCATCATCTTGTTACGAAGGACGCGCAGATGAACGGTACATTGAAGAGAATGCACGGATCTGAATTTAATTACTGTGTGTGTGCGTGCGTGCGTGTGTTATAGCTCACTCTGAGCCTTGGTATTTCTGAAGAATGTTCCTTCCATATTTCTGAATTTGTCTTTTCGTCATTTGATAGGACTTCTCGGAACGAGGGCGGTTGGGGACCGGGGCTGCCCGTCACAACGGTGACCCCGCGACCACTTTGATCGGCAGTTGCCATAATCTATGGAATGGCGAGATGCAAAGTTTTCTCTGCTCACTTGATGTTGTTAGAGGATGATATTAAAATGGAGCTTAAATATAATGTGTGATGTAGATCACCAGAGGCCTCTTGTGAGCACGGTAAAAACATCCACGTCCCATAAACGGCAGGAAATTTCTTGTCCAGCTGAGAGACTACCAGCTTCTAAAGAAGAACTCTGTTCAACTGGGTCAGAGTTATTTACAGAGATTTACAGCGATGAATAAAATGGGTAAGGATTTGGAAGATGACGATTGTGGTGCATTTGAAGTAACTACCCTGGCATTTGACTGGAAACTGAAGAAGACAACGTATAATCAATCATGATAGGCGTTAACACCGTTGACATCAGAACTGGGTGTCCACTGCGTACGTATATAGAACTTTATTGCTACAGCCAACTTTTTGGATATGTTATGATGAGCAGCTTACGTAGAAAATGAATTGATATGTAACTTACGTTTTGTTATTAATCCTCGTGTGAAAGGACCTGGTGAAAAGTAAAGCGGTAAGTGTGAGGACAATAATAAACTGGATCATTGGCATGCAAGTTCCAGACTTGCAAAGTGAATTGAAATGGTAAGGTGTGCCTTAGTCATTGCAGTAACGAACCTTCGCGTTACATAAAAGCAATTAGGCCAACCTTTTAATCAGATCAGTATCGGCTATTTACTGATCAGGGAGAACATGCATTCAGAAATCAACCAGTTCTTTGTAATCTCGCTATGAGAAATTTTGGAAACTTGCTCTTCTGTGAATTCCGCTCACGAATATAAGGTCCTTAATATGTGCGAAGATGGACGTCTTCTCCGTTGTCGCGCCGTGCAGTCTGTTTCAAGTTTACCGACGTTTCAGAGGCAGCAAGGATCTCTGAAGCTTTTGGAACTTCTACCTTAACAGAGGCATTATGACTTTCTAGATCGCTTTGATTTTAGTCTGCATCTACAAATTTTTTGTTCCATTAAAACAGTTTTTTGCAATTGTTTCTCTTACGCCTAGGTAATAGGTCACAAATCTAATGCCTTTGCTTCCTGATTTTTATTCGGCAGGTCCTGGGTTCAAATCTCGGCCTGGAGGCAGGCTATCCTGACAAGATTTTCATGGTTTTCCTTAGTCTCTCCAGACAAATTCCGGGATATTTCCTTAAATTAGACCACGACCGCTTACTTCCACGTTCTTTCCAATGCGTCATTCGCTGTCATCATCTCATTCGACGCTATATAGCCTGAGCTACTGAAAAAGCGTCGTTAAATAAACTATAAATAAATAAACTAATATATTTGCTAAATTTATTGGATTCACAAAATAGCTAACAACATAAATATCTGGTTTTGGTGGTTGTGGCTAGAAACATTGTTTCATTTATGCGCTACCAGTGTTATTTAGTATCATATCTTCCGGATGTGACAAATACCTGTTATACAGCAAAATAATTCCCTTGTTTTAATTTAATTTTTTATTCTGTTAGTCATTATTTATGTCACAGCCAATCGAATAACTTTCCTCATAGTTTTTCCCCTCCTGTGATGTTCGTCTATCTGTCGGAGCAAATAATAAAAAGGAGAAAGTAAGTACGCTACCAGAATGGCGTGGAAATGATTCAGTCATTTAAAGAAGTTTATTTTTCGTCTTTATTTCCCATCAGTTGTTGATACGAATATGAGATCTGATTAAGACTTTTCAATAGCCAGGCGGTTTTATAATTTTGTAGCGAAGTCGTGACTTCTTGAACCTCCTGCCTTAACAAAAGGGCCAGAAATGAAGCCCTTAACTTAGAACCAAGGGCCAGAGCTATCGCGCATCTCGTGGGGCGGTAACAGATGAGGACCGAGCTCTGGTTCATCCAGCGTGGTGACGTGTTACAAAAATTTGAGAGGCGTGTTTTTCTTGTGGCCTTGCATATGGACCAAGTTTCGCCAGCTTACATTGCGCTACTTAGAAACTACTGAAACGTGACTCTCAAATTGTTTGGCCACTTTTCACATCCAGCTTACATATTAGTTAGATACTAATATCAGACTGACGGCCTAATCTACTACATCGGAACAGTAATATATCAATATTATTAAAACGGTTCAGTTACATAGCGCTCGTGTACACTGAAATACAAGACAACCAAACTAAACTCTGTTAGCAGAACCTGAAGGTTGTCCATTTCTAATTTTACCCCCGCCATTGGCCACGATCTTCAGCTACTCCATTCACCTGATCTTCTCTACTACCTCCGAAGATTAACATATCCTATTATCTCTTTCTTATTTTGTTTATGTAGCATTTGAGATTCTCAAGGCGGCAGTTGTGAAGTTGGCTGTCTTCTGAGGTGTTGCGCCGTGTAGTCTGGCAGAAGTTTATATGCAGACGATAAGTGTCATACAAGAATCGGTAAACCTGACAATCATGAATCTATAGACCTGCATATCTGTTGTGTACCACAATATGAAGCAGATTGGAACGTGACGTCAGACCGGGCATGTCGTCCTTGGCATTCCGCCTTCTCTGTAACGTTAGAGAGCTCTGCAGGGAACACTGAATTCGATCTAAATTTCTACATGCTGAAGAATACTTTTTTCCCCTCTTTGTTTCGCATTCTTTGCAGTGCGCTGTTTCGACGCCTATCAGTACAAGTTGGCAACAAGTACACAAGCCAGTCGGTACGTCAATCCACGCCGACAGATCAATTCACGGTTCGTGAAATTTGAGATTCTCACGGCGGCGAGTGTGAAGATGACTGCCTTCTGGGATGTTGCCTGATGATTGAGGCAGTAAGCACTTCTGAAACGTCTTCTACGAGACAACACAGCAGAACACCCTAAAAGACAGTCCTCTTAAAATTTGAGGTTAAATAAATATTGATAAGGGAAGTAGACTTACTGAATTGAGAAAAGTTGTTCTTAATTATGGCTGTCTTCTGGGATTCTGCGCCGTGCGCAGTGTAGTATGACCTATACCGTCCGACGTTTCAGAGGCACTTACTGCCTCCACGTCTGCTTTGAAATTTAGCATTTACTAACAAACCTACCATTCGACAGTTTATAGTCTGAGATACAGTGTCGATAAATAAACCACAGTTCTTGACTTGTAAGTGGTTGGTTCGAGAGCGACACAGACTGTTCCTTAAACCGTATTTTATTTATTTGCGGACGAAAATAATTGGCAAAAAGTGGTATCGAAAATAAAATACATCTTATGTGTTCTGGTAGCTATTTTTCTCTGCATAACGACATTTTTCGGCATTCGGAGTGAAAACAATTAGATTAAATACGTATCTTACACAAAAATTGGCTTAATGAACTACTTAGTTATGAAATATTAATATAGACAAAACCTATATCGCCCGAAATCTCATTCGGAGCCAATGATTCACCATCTCTGACACAAACATTCGGTTAGTCGGCTCCTTAAACTTTCTCTTCTCCTCGTTTGCCACTGAACTACGCGACGATTAAATAGTTACGCTAAACTTGCGAAATATACGAAATTAATTTCAGGGAAAAAAATTATTCTAGACGAATTCGTCTTTTTGTTGCTCAAAAATGTAATTTTCCCATCATAAAATTCGATGCCGTCAAATTGGTGTACTCAATATCCACACACACACGCGTGCACACACGCGCGACTCTTACTTCTTTCCTTCCGACTTTCTCTTTCATGTTTATTTTTCCTTCTTTATTCCCTCCACAGGAAGACACGTGAAAATGTTAACATACAACAAACCACAGATCGCGATTTGAACCTGATATTCCTGCGTTTTGGGAACGTAAGTCGTTCGCGCCTTCGAAATGTGATCGACTCAAATAGCTGTCTACTGGACTCATTTCATATTATTATATAACTGCTTAACTGTATTGGGCCAACCTCTGACAAGTCATGCCTTTGATACTATTCAAAACGAATTCCTTGAACTGTAAGACAGATTTGTCTTTCTCTTGACATGAATAATTTACGTAATACTAGTAGCAAGCTGTAATTAATACTGCATTAACACTGTGTGCAGCTCACTGTCACTTCTACTACTATCAATTTTGGCTTGTGTCCCGTCATTTGTCTTGTTACGAGAAGTTCTGGGGCTTCTACATACGTTTGGCCTAAGAGCGGGCAATTTTGTTTTGGATTGTAGGTGACTGCACAAACTGCGTGGACGAGAGTGTCGGCCTGTCTGGCAACAGATGGACAATGCCTCTACTGAAACTGGGAGAGAAACGCTACTACCTCGGAATCTTCTTCAAGGTAAGAAATAGACGTCTGCGTCTACTTACACAGTTTCAGAATCCAATCTGTAAACTTAATACGTACTTTAAAAAGGCTCGTTTTAATTCTGCATATATCCACATATTGATAAGACGCTCCTAGTTTTTACTACAGCTGCAGCAGTCTTAATTTATTTTATTTCGCTTTAAGGGGAGCCTGAGTATGACCATAATATAGACCGAAACATGTCGCTCAGTAATGTCTAAAGTAATAATAATATTCCTGCATAACCTCACATGATGACAGAATATAATAAGTTACTAATTTGTCGTTAATAATTTATTATCACCGAAGGAAGGGTTAAATTTTTAGCTAGTCGTATTTGCCCAACCCTGCTCTAGGCAACTAAACATTCTTTAAAAAACTTCTATTAACTTGTTTTGTCTGTAGAACAATTCAGTGTTCTGGAGAAAAAAACATTTGACGAGCAGCGCACGCGCATTGGGGTTATCTTACCGACAGGAAACATTTCGAAAGTCAGTGAAGCTGATCATTACCATTCCTATTTTATGTTCTTATAAACAGCAAATCACGTACGGAGAAACCTCATCTTTCTTCTCCGTCGTAATTTGCTACGAAAAAGATATAAAAAAGAGTCAAGAAACCTGTCGTCATTATTCCAGTAAAAGTTTGCTTAAATACAAATAAAAAGTAATTTCAATCTTCGCTTTCATTTTTTAAGTTATGTGACTGAAGGTAAAAGTAATTTTACGTAAATCACTCCTTTTTCAATCAATTCACCTACAGAAATTGTCACAGTAAAACACCACTTCCTCATTCTAATGTAACGCCCGCATCTTCAAAACCTTCTTCCGCAAACCAACTCTGTAAACCCCAAGGAGCCGAAGGTTCAACATCATTAATAACAAAGCCAGCCATTAAACACGATTCTTAGCCAGTTCAGTCCACTTTACAGTATCAGTACCCGCCTCTCTACGATCCACATTAACACCATCCTTCCATATCCTTCTCGGTTTTCAAAACGTCAGTTTTCAGAGATTTCCTTACCAAAATTCTATCTGTATTCTTTATCTACCCCATCCTAATCACCTATCAGTCCATCATAGCCTCCCAGATTTCACTATCCTAACTGTGACAAGAAGACTAATAGTCGTTTTATTTCATTTGTTGTTTGTTTAAAGACATCTTACCAACTGGACAAGTTCGTTTCGTCTTGTAGTAGAATGAACTGTGAATTTGTGTATGATGTGGTGGTTTCACTTGAGGTGTCTCTCTTGTTTTTTCGATTTATATACTTAATTAAAGAACACATGTTGTGATTAAATGAACACCACTTCGTATTCAGAAGGTACCGGGTTCAGTTCTTGGCCCTGAGTCTCGTTATTCTAAGTTCATCGTGGCTTGTTTAAGTTCTTTAAGGCAAATACCTTAACAGCATCTTAAAACAGCCAGCTACTACTTATTTTCATACCCTTTCAAGTTTATCATTCAGAAGTATCCTAGAATTCGACACTCGGCCTAAACTTCTAACGAAATTAATTGCAAAAGAGTAATTAAACAAAGCCTCAACCAGGGCGCTTCACATACGGAGCCACTACATGACAATAAAGCCGTCTGTTAGTGAAGGCAGAAATAATCTAAATGAAACAATGCTTAGCTGCGTCTTGGAATATGACTTTAATTCCTTTCAACTGCGTTTGTAAGTTATTCTTTATATTAAATAGTTCCTCTTTATATTAAAGGAATTTGTAAGTGGGTTGGTTATTCATAATAAATCAATCAGTTCCAGTTACCTAATTACGAAATCAGTTGATTCTTAGTCTTGCAGTAAGTCGGTTAGTTAGTCACAGAGACATTCATTAGACTGCGAGTTACTAGCAGTCATACTTTTAGTTGTAAGTCTTTAGTTAAAAACTTCACTAGCCAGTTATGTGGTTACTTAAGATAACCACACAATTACTCCGTCAGTTAGTAAGGCCGTAATGTTGTGGCGTACTGAGGCCCAACTGGAGTGAGTCTGTGGTCGCAGTTCTTGACACCGTAGAACAATAAGTGTAACCTTGGCAGCAGGCAGCGTGTGTCTTTGCCAAGTTCGTGCCGGCCTTCGTGAAGCGGAGACACTTTAGAATGGGGGCGAACCCGATTTGTCCACGGACATAATTCAGAGGTTCAATTTTTTAGGAAACATGTTATATTTTAGTTCTTGAGTCCTCTTTATTGTGAAACTGTAGGTTCTCACGACGGTGAGGATACGATGTTGTTCTCTTGGGTTGTAACGCCTTGAAGACTCGTATGTAGATGAAGATTTCTGTCTTCTGGGTTGTTGCGCTGTGTAGTCTGGTAGATGTTAACCAACGTTTCAGAGGTCATACTGCCTCCGTTGAAGTTCTCACGGCGACAATAATGAAGATGACTGTCTTCTGGGTTGTTGCGCCGTGTAGTCTGTTAGATATTTATCGACGTTTCAGAGGTACTTACTGCTGATGAAGGCAGTAAACAGACTACACGGCACAAGAACCCAGAAGACAGCAATCATCTGCCATTTTCTCGTTTTCCTCTCGTTCCCCAAACCATTCCAGGAATAATTGCTACCTCAAAGGAGGCAATGATTGACTTCTTTCAAATCCGTACCAAGTCACTAATCATTGTCACGTTTCCATCTCATTCGCTTTTATTCTTAATAACCTAATACAACAAACAAACAAATCCCTGCTCGTTCAATTATGTTTCCCTCATTGGCAGCAGCTCACATTACACTGCGGTCTGATGGGTTGCCTATGTTGCAGGCGAACTGGTACAGAGCGGCGCAGTACTGTCGCTATCATGGGATGCACCTGGCGAGTATCAACAGCCAAGAGGAGAACGACAAGTTAGAGAAGCACATCAGAGACTTCGGTACGAATTGTTTTTACTGTTACTATTCGGTCATCTTTCCAAAACACTAAAGGTTTATATGTGTAATTATTAATTTATTATCCTATGCTTTAAGGCAGGATATAAATTAGAAGTGGAATTTAAATTTCTTACGGCATACGAAGATGGCTGTCTTCTAGATGTTGCATTATTTAGGTATTTAGGGAGAAAAACCTGCAGATATAACTACGCATGAATGTACTTACAGAAATCGTGATGACATAAGCGCGTACTTTCAGCAAGATTGATATTAAATATTACTGGTTCGTTTCTCTACAAGCAGGACTAGGACATGAACATTTCTGGACGTCGGGTACGGATCAGGCAGAAGAGGGCGTGTTCTTCTGGATGTCAACCGGCCGACCGGTTACCTTCACCAACTGGAACACCGGAGAACCGAACAACTTCCGATACGAGAACGGAGAAGAGGAGCATTGTCTGGAACTTTGGAACCGGGATGGGAAGGGACTCAAATGGAACGACACACCCTGCTCCTTTGAGACATTTTTCGTGTGTGAAGTGCCTTGACCCTAGAGGGTCTACCTGACTGACTGTACGTAACGTTTCGCCCCGTCCCCTCCGAAGGATTGCTGGTCAATTCGCAGCAAAGTGCCCGCTACACTGTTGCGCTAATAATTCACCACGACCAGCGATTAGACAAGTCGCATTGACCCTTTGAAGCCAAAAGCTAATCTAAATAATGTTTAAAATCCAGTTAATGCCTCAAAAAATTACCGCCGTTATAAATATTGGTTGGTTAGTGCTGTTTAGAATAATAATCGCTGTTCACTCTGAAGATACACAAAACCCAAAAATACACTGGATGCTATAAATGCAGTTAGTGAATGTTAAATCAGGTCGTACATTCAGTAACCATTGTGCTTTGAAGGGTTAATGAAGGTAGAAAGGAATAGGATACTTGAAATAGTCATTCTCAAGATTATGAACATCACAGTCATGATGTCTTGAATGAGAAATCGCGGAAATTTTTTAAAATGCACACATGATGATACTCTAAATAAAAATAAAAGACATTGTGAAGATTTCTGTCTTCTGCGTTGTTGCGCCGTGTAGTCTGGTAGATGTTTACCAACGTTTCAGAGGTCATATTGCCTCCGTCATCAGAGCGATGAACATCTACCATACTACACAGCGCAACAACCCAGAAGACAGAAATCTTCATACTCACCGCTGTGAAAACGTTACAGAAGACATTGTGCTTTGAATGAAGTCACCAGAAGATTCTTTCAGGCATACATATCATGAAGTTAATACTTGAAGTTATAAGGCTTATAATCTTGGCATTTAAGGACGTCTCCTAGAAATTTTTAGGTCCATGTGCATAATTTTAATAAGCATCGGTATTAAAACTCGGGCTACAGAAGGAAGCGAATTCGAATTGTTTTACAGAAAGAGAAGAAATTTGGTAAGTGAGAACTGATTTAAAAGAATGCAAGTACTTAAATAAATATATATATATATATATATAGAAGACGAAATATAAAAGTATATATTGTAATATTGAGAAAACTCCCTTTAGAGACTTTATAAAATATAAGCTAAGTGTCCCGTTGAAACGTGTTAGCATAGTTGAAATCAAATTTCAAAAATATGAATGGCTTTGCATTTTAAATCTATTAAACGCAATGAACTACATAAATGTATGAGCATATGAATCTAAAAATTTAGAGAACTACGCTTTTGGAAACTTCATTCAATATGAATGAGAAGCATTTTCCTTGATCTACTTTGACGTAGTGCAATAGTAATTTATTATAAAGCCGAGAACCAAATAAATTCTCGATTTCAGTGAGTTATCACTGAAACTTGAGCTGTCAGTTGTATCTGCGTCCTTGATATGTTTTCTGTCGATGTCCTGCACAATATTTACGTGCAGGCACAAAGCAGCGTGGCCCATGATGTGACAGGTATTACAACCTGGCTTTTAATTTGTAATACAATCAAACGATTTGCATCATGTGAGTGAAACAGATGTTTCTGGACAACAAAACTTCTTCAGAAAGAATTATTTAGCCTTCTCTCAAAGCACATATTCATGGTACAAACACTCTGTCAATCATGTTTTCAGGGGAAAGGAAATAACTGTAAACATGACGTCAATTGACAGTTACAACAAAACGAAATGTTACTGCAATCCTCTGGGACTCAAGTTATCTATGAGATAACGTAATATGAACAATGTTTGTTGCGTTATAACAACTAACTTTTTTTTACAGACCTGCTTTTATCGAATGCCAACCACTTTCTGAGTGGCAACGTGACCATATTTCTTTACATATTGTGTAACCATGTTCATCCACGTCATTAAACATTTATATCTGTATATTTAAAGTACGAATAATAATTTTTGGGCGGTTGTATTTTCTCTTTGTGCAGTGTTAATTTAAGAGTGCATTTAAAAAGTAAATTCTGTTTTAGCACAAAATTTCTTTCTGCACGAA